AAATGTCAAAAAATGATGTCAAAAATGACAAAAAAGATGTCAAAAAAAGTATTCGTAATTTTAAAAGAAACTTGGCACTTAATTCAAAAAATAATCCTAAAAGTGTTTATGTTTATAGAATTAACAAAACAAGATTTAATGACTATATCAAAGCAATGAAGCTATATAATGGTATTATAACTACTGATAATCAAGAGGTATTAAACACTCTTAATGTATTTTTTGCATCTGCTTATATACAAGATAATTCATCAGAAGAAATTTTAGACAACAATCTTATAAAAAAATGTCCTAATCAATGTTTAAGTATTTCTATTATTCAGAAACATTTGAGTTATTTAAACATGTATAAATCAGTAGATCTAGATAATGTTCACCCAAAGGTTTTAAGGGAATTTTCAGATTGTTTGTCGAGTTGTTTAGCATTAATATTTCATAAATCTTTTAGTACAGGAACTATTCCAAAGTTATGGTCATGTGCAAATGTTGTTCCATTATTCAAAAAGGGCAATAAACTAGATCCAACAAATTATAGACCCGTTTCACTAACATCAATTGTTGGTAAAATTATGGAGCGAATTATTAGAGATTGTATGATGGTATTTCTTATTGAAAACAATTTATTTCTAAAGAGCTACATGGTTTAGTTAATAACAAAAGTTGTAAAACAAACCTGTTGGAAACATTAGATTTAATCACGCAAGCGTATAAAGGGGACATTTCATTTGATGTTTTGTTTTTGGATTTCAAAAAAGCAATTGATTCAGTCTCTCACAGGAAATTACTGGAATAATTATTTAGACTGGGATTTGGGTCATCTTTGTTAAATTGGTGTAAATCATTTTTGTCAGATCAAACTCAGAGGGTGGTTATAGGAGAATATATTTCAAGTTGAAAGATGGTTATTAGCGGAGTACCATACCTAGCTAGCATACTTACATTGGGCCAACGTATGTAAAACCATCGCGAACGTCGGCTCTTTTTTTCAATGCAAAACCAACGTTTATCCAATATCATTTGGTTAATGATAAAATTATTACCGACGGAACTAAAAACGTCTGGCAAATTTACATTGGTCCAATGCATGTAAAAACATCGCAAAAAGTTGATTTTTTTTATGATCTAAACCCAATGTTTATCCAATGTATATATTTTGACGTTGATTCAATGTATATAAATCAACGTTTTTCCAATGTATGTAAAAACACGCAAAAAGTTTATTGTTTTTACGATCTAAACCCAAGGTTGATCCAATGTATATATTTCGACGTTGATTCAATGTATATAAATCAACGTTGATCCAAGTTATGTAAATAGATCGCAAAAAGTTTTTTTTACGAACTAAATCCAATGTTGATCCAATGTATTTGACCAAATATAGCTATTACGAAATTATTTAACTTAAACAAAATCTTCCGTGATTATTAAAATATCAAACCACAATCAACACAAACATGATTTTTGTTCCGATGATCAAGAGTTGATAGATTGTGGCAATTATATATGTCATGTTTGCGTTGGCTGTAAATTCTATGTATATACATAATTATACATCTTATAAGCATATATTATGCATCACATACGTATATATGTATATATTATATAAATGTATCAGATATATATTATAAATATATAGAAAATAAAAGTTAATGAAAATTTAATTCTTAATAATGATGAAAACAACGTCAACTAAAGTTCAACATTGAATCACCGTAAATACAACGTTGTAGAAACTTAAAATACAACGTTGTAAACGTATAAAATAAAACGTAGAAAATATAACCATTTTCCGACTTTAAAAAAACGTTTTATCAACATTGGTTTTTAGTTGTTGGCGACGTCGCATTTTTAACCATAATAATATAAAAACAATGTTGGCAGCCGATGTTGGGCCAACGAAACGCGCGACATTTTTCTTATTTTTTAACAACTTATGTGTGCTAGCTAGGTAAGGTTCAGTACTCGAACCTCTTTTATTTGTTATCTTCATTAATGACTTATGTAGAGGGATTATTAAAGTCACTAAATCATATGCAGACGATACCAAAGTTATTTCAATCAATCCTTGTTATGATGATAATAAACTATTACAAGAGAACATTAACATGTTAGTAAAATGGTCTGAAGATTGGTTAATTAAAGCTAATGAATCAAAATGTAAAGTCATGTGTATTGGTAAAAAAAAATCCTAGATATGAATATAAATTGAACAAATCTCTTTTAACAGAAACAATAATAGAAAAAAATCTTGGGATTTTTATTTCAAATAATCTAGAGTGGAAATGTTATATTAATTCAGCTATAGGCATATAAACAGAAAATTAAGCATGATCAAAAACTCTTTTGAGTGTTTAGATGAATTTTCATTAAAATTATTATACAAAGCGTTAGTACGTCCTCATTTGGAATATCGAGCAGCAGTTTGGAATCCAATTTGGAAGAAGGATATCGACAATCTTGAACTCGTGCAAATCAGGACTACTAGAATCAAATATTTAAGGGGGAAATCATATGAAGAATGATTAAAGATACTTGAATTGCCAACTTTGCATGATAGAAGAAGAGGTGATCTCATTCAAATGTATAAGATCTCAAAAGGAAAAGATATTGTTAATTTTCACCACCCTCCATTAAATTTTGAGCTAGAGCGATCAAATAGAAGTAACAATTGTAGAATACGCAGATAATTTACAAATTCGAGAATTCGTCTCCATTTCTTCACAAACAGAGTTACAAACGATTGGAATTCTCTTCCTGAATGTATAATAGATAAAGATAAGATAAACCTTTTTAAAAATAGCATTGATAAATATTTTATTTTTGAACACAATATTTTGTAATCGGCTGTCATAGTCTTAATTCTACGTACTTAAGACTCAACAAACCTCAAGTGTGTACAGCGTCTTTTCTATTCTATTTAAATAACATTATGTTGTTACGTAATATAAAAGTATAGTTTTTTACATAAACTTTATAATTTATGTAATATAAAAATCTACATAAACTATATAATTACATATTTATATACAATTTTAATAAATTTTCGATACGACACTTGTATTCCGAGCTGACAAAATGTACACAAAGCCGTGCCAAGGCTCCCTCACATTCCCATTAGATAATATAGGAGACTCTTTGCTTTTTTTTTTTAGTAATAACTGGTGGTAAATTTTTAAAGATTTTAAGGCCCTTGTAATGGCAGGTTTTGGGGGGCTTCAAACTTACTCTCAAAAATTTGCATTACGAACCGTATAAATACATTAAAAATTACACTACAATTTACAATGTACAATTTACTATGGTTAGGATTTATAGCATAAATTGTAAACACGTTAACAATTACAAATTTATTTTAAATCATAAACCACTGGACATGGATTGTTCTATCATTTAATATTCCAGTATTTTACGAAATAGAATTATAATACTAGTGTATATACACACTTCGTATGCACAAATTTTCGAAAAGTTTGATATAAACTTAGTAGAATACAATTGCCAAATAAAAACAACAAATGATTGGAGAAAGTGTATTACACGCTCTGAAGGGCCGACTAATGAGTTATATAACTCATTTAGGTCGTATAAAGAAGGTCCTAAAAACGTTTTTTTAACTCCATTCACGGACAAAACTTATTTATCTTTTAAAGCCGTTTTTTGAACGTTTTTTAAACGTGCTTATTTTATTTTGGGCGATAAAACCTGTGGGCACGATGCGCCTATAAATGATCTTCGGACGTCTTTATAAGACGTCCGAAGATCATTTATAGGCGCATCGTGCCCACTGGGACCAAATTTTGAGTTCTGCTTTTTTGAACGAAACCCTTATTATTACAAAGACATTGACGCTCGAAGCCGTGCAAAAAAGAGCCATTTGTGGTTTGTGTTTCTTCTTCCAAGTATCATCAAAAACTTTCCTCAATCAACAATTAATTATATGAAGATGCGGTAGAGGCAAACTCATTTATAAAAAAAGTTTAGTTTTGGACCATCGTTTTCCCAAGAAACTCTGCTAGAATACAAAACAAAATGACACTTATCAAAATGGGATATCTGCGCTGTTTGCAAATGCTTAAGCAATTCATAAATTACTTACTATTATTACTTTTAAAAATAGTAACTTAAAAAAAATAATATTGTAAAAACAACATATTTTTGTTTCAATAAGACACTTCAATAAAAACAATATACCTCCTAAACTCTCAGATTTCTGGTTTTAAATGACTTACAAACTAAAGAGACACTGACGTTAAATAAAAAATGTAACAAGCTTCAAGTGATTGTATTTCAATAAGAGTTGTTTTTATATTTTAAATAAAACATATTAAATATTAGAAAACAATTTTAAATTAATAATTTCAGTGGCTTCAACAAAAACAAGCTAAAAAGAATCCGCTTTCTGAGGTTTTCTTGCTTTTCAAGCGAGAAAACCGTAGAAAGCGAAAAGGTGAAACCTTAGAAGGTGAAACCTTAGAAAGCGGATTCTTTTTGTATAGTTAACGTAATAAGAAGTAAAACAGATATAAATTATTTTAATACTTTGCAAACTCATGTATTGGCGATTTTGATACATAATACAGACGGTTTTACTAGACTGTTGTATATTTTTGTATGAAGGACATTACAAAACTGCTCATCAATAAGAATTAGAAGTTTGTAACATATGGAAAAAAAAAATGAAAATAAAAATGTTACTACACCTTTAATTAATGAACTATTTAAATTTTAATAAATTACCTTTTTACAAATTTCTTTTGTTTTTTACTTTTTACGTCGCTTGTTGTACACGAGATAATAAAATCTATTGTTACCAGCCAATGTTGTACTATAAAACATGAAATCATCACATAAAAAATCTGTATCCTTATTACTACGATATAGATTTTGGCAAAAATAATGTTTTTAAATTTTTAATTAACTAAGAGAAATTATAAAATTTCCTTATATTTCTTTGTATTTTGAACAAGTATTTTGAGTTTAGTTTTAAGAAAGTTAATATTTTTCAGAGGAGAAATCCAAATATTTTTCAGAAGAGAAATGAAAATATTTTTTGGAACCATCTTGTTATACAGGTGATTGAACTTTTTTTTATATATTTTTTTATCATTGTTATATCTATATTATTTTTCGTTACTTAAACTAAACGTTATTTGAATACCGATGATTTACCGATAGCTGCAATAGAATCGAGCTTCTTTACGCTGGAAATCTCCATCAGAGTGATTAAAATTTTTTTTGAACTTGTTGAAGTTTTTTTCCATTTTTTAACTTTTTGACCGATTCATTTTTTTCTTTTTAAATTTTTTAATTATTGTGTTCACAACCGAGAATATGATAGTTTGTCAATTTTGCTACAAAATATACAAAATGTTTTACGGTATAAAATTGGGTATAAAAAATACGGTATATAATTACGGTGTAAAATTGCGGTACAAATTTAGTATAAAAAATCATATAAAATGTATTACGGTAAAAAATATTGGCTTATCAAGACACGCTTTTAAATTGACTAATTCACACGTTGGTCTTCTGAATTTTCAAAACGCAAGAAAATCAACGAGTGATGAAGTCGTTTCGAGAAAAAAAGAAAATAGTAAAAAATTCTTTTTAAAATAATTTAAATAATTCAGTAATTAAAGCTTATAGTAAACTTTTTTTCTTTAACTTTCTTATTTCCCATATATATATATATATATATATATATATATATATATATATATATATATATATATATATATATATATATATATATATATATATATATATATATATATATATATATATATATATATATATATATATATATATATATATATATATTAAGACTTCTAGGAAATATAATAAAATTCTTAGGCGATCTTGTAAATAAATTCTAATATTTTTTTTGATTCGTCAAATTAGAATACTATGTCAAATTTTATATTGTTCAACAGCAAAACCCCTATATGGAAACATTTTCTGCGAAATAAAGAAAGTGAAACAGCAATGTATAAACTAAGCTATTGCAAAAAAGTATTGAAAACTATCGGGGGATCAACAAAAGCTCTTCATTCTCATCTTCTTCAGTTACATAAAATAAATTTAAAAGCAGAACTGGTGGCGCGTTCTCTGACATCGGATGAAGAACCACAGATAAAAAAAGTAATATTAGTTCTTATTTTTCATCAAATATGAATAAAGAAGACAGCTTGTCTGAGGTGCTTGCAAGATTAACAGCTAAAAATGGGATTTCTTTTAACGTAATATGTACTTCTATTGATATACGTGCTGGACTGGCTATGAGGCGATTTTTCAACATACCTAAATCTCCAAACACTGATAAATATTGTGTTAGAGTTTATGCTAACTAAATTAAAAGAGCTGAAAACTACAACAAGTTGTCAACTTTTTAATCCATTAGCCTTCAGAATCAAAAAGCAAAGGACTGAATTAAGTAGTCTACTGCACTATCTACATTACGGAGAAAACAAACTAATGTCCATAGGTGAAGTATTAAATGTAACAAATTTAAATCACCCAACTTCCTTGGACAAAGTTGAAGATTTAGTAAGTCTTTATGGTCGGGTCAGGTTTTTCTTGCTACTGGTAACATATAGCCCAGTACAACCTGCTTCATGTCCTGCTGCCTTGTAGGATATGCCTTTTTAGGCAAAAGCTAGGAGACGCAAAATCCGACATAAAACACTCATCTTGGGCAGATGTTAAATGCATCCGGCTTCTGTCTTGTAGAAAGCCTCCTAGGCAAAGACTTAAGGGGTAAACAAATTCTATCTGTTGACCAGCCTCGCACCCCTTCTTCATCTATTAGGCTGGGGCAGATGTATTTTTAATACATTGTTTCCAGTTTATGATATTGAACGCTGGATCTTCTTGACTCGATGCATGGGTTTTGCTTGCGTCTCTGTTTTTATGACTAAGCAACTCATTCTATTATCTCCAAATGAGGGTACAGCTCTAAAACTCAATTTTATGGTTCTGAGGCCGGCTGGTAGTCAGGTTTCCTGAACTCTGTGGTGGCTCACAGAGAGGGAGATTCCATCAACATCTGAAAAATATCAGAGTGTTAACAGTGCCATGTTGCGCATGGATGGTGTCCCTGTTTGTACTTTTGGTGTGCATTGCCAAGGCCACATTGGAGCCCTTTGTTACGGCTTAGGGTTTATTAGTGAAAATGAGGCAATTGCTTGGGCTATAAAACAGTGTACTGAGTACTATCTATGTTTCGAGTCAAGTTCTTTAAAAAATTTAAAAATAAATAAAGAAGCAAAAACTATAAAACACAAAAAACCACAGTCATCACCAAGTTTGCTAAACCTATCATTCACCAATATTCGTGATCTTCGAAGTAACTTTTCTTCTGTTGAGTCTTATCTCTTGCAAAGTTCACCAGACCTACTTGCTCTTTATGAGACTAATTTGAGTTCTTCTGTCTCATCTTGTGATCTTAGTGTTGATGGTTATCTTCCTTTAATTCGTAAAGACTCCAATAGTCACATGTGGCCTGGGCATTTACATTCAGTTTTAAAGCATAACAGAATGCCGGGATTTCTTGGGAAATTTCGGGAATTAATTATACAACCCCAAATCCCGGGATTAGAAATTTTCCGGGTTTTTGCAAGCCCTAAAACCAATATAATTACAAAGTAAATTTGGAAAATTTTTAACCTCAGTAAGTTTATAAAACTGCCTTGGATAATTAATATATATTCATAGCATTTCATATCGAGGGCCTAAAGTGTGGAATATCTTTCAAAATGGATTCAAGGGTATGGTAAATTCGTTAAATTTATTCAAGTTTACAACAAAAAAGCTTTATTACCCGGTGGGAAATGAGCTAGCGACTAACTAGCTATTCGCTAGCTAGTCACTACCTATGGGCAAACAACGCTTTCAACATGTATAAAATAAGAGGAAATACATATTTTTTTCCAACCGGGTTACGCATTTTATTACAATATTTTATTGAAATTTTATATTATACACGTATTTAAACATTGTACGATACTCTTTTGAAGTTTTGTGAAAAAGATGAAAAGATGAAGTATAACAACAACAGCAATAAGGTTTTCCTCAAATCTTACAATCATTTAATTACAATAATATATTAACAATAATAATAATAGCAATAATAATAATAATAATAATAATAATAATAATAATAATAATAATAATAACAAGAATATCTATAATATTATAAATAATAAAACCAAAATACCATTATTAAGAGTAAATATAAATAAATAATTGACAAGGAAGGAGTTACTCATGTAGAAACCTGCTCAAAGGAGTGACACCAGATAATTATATTAACAATATAAATTTAAAAAATAATAACAATAACAATAATAACTTTATTCATTAATAGAGCAAAAGTAACGTAGCAGTAATGAAAAAAATAAATAACCGTGCCAAAAGCAATAAAGTTTCTATAAAAGTAGTAAGAAAAAGAAAAAAACAAGAAAACTAAGTTTAAAATATTAAAATAAAATTTTTTTAGAATTTGTTTAAATTTATTTTGCTTTAAATAAAGAAATGAAGATAAATTATTTTTAAGTTTTAATTTTTCGAACTTTTTCACAATGTACACATATTCACAATTTATTTGTATATTACCTATGGTTTTACCTTCAGAGGCTCAATGATTCTGATACAAATGATTCTGAAAAATTGCAAAATACAGATTTTTAAGGGTAGTTCTATCAACATAATGGCAAATTATTGAAAGCATGCATTAACTTGATTAGGTTATGAGCAGCCGTGGCGCAGTGGTTAGAGTTCTGGCTCAGAACCCAGAGGTCCGAGTTCGATGCCAGCTCCAGCCCAACAAGCGACATTGGTACGGAAGGAGGCGTGAACTTCCTGTTAAATGCTCACCCGCGGTGCTCTATGATAAGACCGTAAGAACTTCTGGGAGCACCTAAATACATACAAAAAAAAAAAAAAAAATAGTTTTTTACGCAGGGCATCTATATGAAAATTCCATGAAAGGTTCGAATCTATAAAAATACCAAGATATTTAACAGTGTTTTGGATATAAACGTTTATGATTAATTCTTATTTTAGTTATATGATTGTTGTATAAAAATTTTTGTCTTGGAGGTGAAAAAAATATTAGTTCAGTTTTTTCCAAGCTCGGAGAAATTAAGTTTACATTTAGCCAATGAACTAAACCTTTTAGATCTAAGTTTAACATTAATATGCAAGATATTAGTATTATCAGCAAACAAATGGAATGATAATAAGTGGAGTGAGTTATTTTGGTCATTAATATAAATCAAAAACAATAAAGGGCCAAGAACAGAACCCTGGGGAACACCACAAACTATGCGTTTGTTATTTGACTTGTAACAATTAATGCTTCTGATTTGAAAGATAAGATTGAAACCAATTGTAAGCAACTCCATACAAAATGGTATGATTAACAGTATCGAACGCTTTTTGTATGTCGATGAAAACACCACCAACAAAATGAATAGTATCCAGTGCCTATTTTATTTTTTCGATTATACTTATTTAAGCGTGGCAAGTAGAGTGTTTTGATCGAAATCTAAATAGAAAATCATTTAAACAGTTAAAAGAACTCAAAAATGAGTATAATCTAGAATATATTAGTTTTTCAAGGAGCTTGCTAATGTTAGATAGAATTGAAATAAGTCTTTTTTATTAATAGATTCTAAAAAATAAATTATTTTTAAATGTAATTGAGTCTATGCAATGTAACTTCGACGTTGTGTGGAGGGACAAAGAATTTAGATGTTAAAGTTCTTTTACACAAACTAATTTGGCCTTAGTCAATACAAGAATTAATAATAAAAATAAATTTCAAAAAATTGCCAATACTTTCTTCCTTGACAGTTTAAATACTTTTTATGTTGCTAGGAGAAGTTTGACATTTTTAAAATTTAGACAAATCAATAATTTTCTTAATATTTTATATATACTGTCAATGAGTGAAATAAAACATTATTTAAGAAGAACTTTTACTCATTTATTCTAAAGTTTTACTTTAGAATAAATGAGTAAAAATTCTTCTTAAATAATTACTTTACACGGCATAAAGTTGGAAGTAATT